AAGCAAGCTATATGAGGCTCCTTTTTGGGAGTGGGGTCGGTCTCTGGCGGCCGGATGTGCGGCGCCGGCGCCCCGTGGGGGGCGGCGTGGGCGCTGGTGGCCCTGCTGCTGGCCCTGGCCCTCGGGGACCTCGCCGCCAAGGTCGCCGGACTCGTCGCGGCCAGCGCCGGCCACTGGCGGGATGACTTCGGTGGGCAGCTGGACGCTCTGAGGGTGGAGGTCTGGAGCTCGAGGGTCGAAGTTCGAGGAGGAGGAGGAGGAGGAGGAGGAGGAGGCGGAGGAGGAGGAGGAGGAGGAGGAGGAGGAGGAGGAGGAGGAGGGTCGAAGTTCGAGGGTCGAGGTTGGAGGGCGTGTGTTTTCTGCCAGGAGGCCTTTCGTGGCCATGGCTGGGGCCGCCTCAGAGTTTCTTGCTCAGAGCGCGGTGCAGGAGAAGGTTGGGCCCCCGACCCTAGATGTCCGACGATACGGTCAGCCCGCATAATAAGGCTGAGCAGCTTTCCAAGGTTACCCTTGCACCCTTTCTCTTCGGTCCATGCTTGGCCGCTTTCGCTGGCCGCGCCCCGCTCGCAGAGCGTCGACCTGGCCTTCCAGGACCCTCTTGTTTTTTTCAACCCCGGCGTCTTCCCGGATTTAGGCCTGCCGTGCCCGTTCGCTGAGATCCGGGCGATGCCGTTTTGTCACAGGGGGCGTTTTCGTCTGGTTTCGGCCCCCTGGCCCCACAAATTGAATAGAAATCCAGGGTCCACGGCTCCGTTCGCGATTTTCCGCGATTGTGCAATTTTTTCGTGGTATTGGATTTCAGGGTCCGACGATCTGATTCGTTGGGCTTGCACCATGCCTTTTTTGAGCGGTCTTGAAGCCCTCTTGGCTCGTCTGAGAGCCCTCTTAAGGGCCTCTTGGGCCGTGTTGGGGCGACCCTGGAGGCTTCTTGGGCTGTCTTGGACGTTGTGTTCGCAGGAGAGGCGAATGTGCTTGCGAGATGTTTGCTCTTTGAGGCCGTCTTGAGACGCCTCTTGAGGGCTCGCTGGGGCGTCTTGGGGGCCTCTCGGGCCGCCTGGAGTCCAGCGTGGGCGTGTTCGATTGGTCTTTCGGCGGCTCGTGGCCCTGCTGGAGTGCCCTCTTGGCCTCCTCCTCCTCCTCCTCCTCCTCCTCCTTCTCTCCCTCGTCCTCCTCCTCCTCCTCCTCCTCCTTTTGATCCTTCCTCTCCCCCATTCTCCTCCTCCTCCTCCTCCCCCTCCTCCTCCTCCCCCTCCTCCTCCTCCTCCTCCTCCTGTCCGCATTCTCCTACAAATCGGCCGGAGCGGGCTCCCCGGGGAGGGACTTCGGGAGGGGGAATCGGGGGCAACGATGGGGCGGGGATAGGCAGCGGGGGGGGGATGCATCGACCCCCAATCATCGGAGGTTGATCGACCTCCTACCCTGCCACGTCGATTCGCGAGTTGGCCGTTCTCGGTTCGCGAGAGTTCGTCGCGGCCGTCATTCCTGCGGGTCCAGGTCCGTCGGTTTCGGTCCTAGGCCGTTTTCACTAATGGAGGTTTACTAGAGGGAGGTGTGTCCACCGCCGAGATCGCCCATGGATCGCCGAGGGGGGCCCGACAGCCCCAAGCGGCGTTCCAGGGAGGTGCGGATCCACTGTCCGGGGCCCATCGCCGATCCGCCGGCGATGCATCGCCGATCCCAGGCCGATGCACGGCCCTCTATGCCAGTCCCCCCGTTCTCGTTGCCCCTCGGGGAAGCGTCTCACACGCCGATGAGCCCCAATGGGGCCAGCGGATTCCTCAAGGGCTCCCAGGAGGGCGCGAAGTTATTCGCGCTTCGCGCTTCGCCGTCCTCCTTCCTCCTCCCCCTCCTCCTCGTCCTCCTATTCTCCCTTTGGGAGGGCGGCGCGAGAGCGCGAAGTTATTCGCGCTTCGCGCTTCGCGCAGCGCGAAGCGCGAAGTTGGGAGCCCTAGGTTCTCGTTGCCCCTCAGGGAAGCGTCTCACACGCCGATGAGCCCCAGTGGGGCCAGCGGATTCCTTCAATCCGGATCGGCCTCCTGGAGGTTCACTGTCGGGCCCTGGGGGCCATCAGGAACGAGTCCGGGGCGAGAGCTCGTCGGGGGGGAAGGGGTCGGGACCTCCCTGGGGCCGCGCATCGGAAAGGTCATGACTGTCGGATGTCTACCCAGACATCCGACGTCTTGCGCTGTTCTTTGGAGCACAGGGTCGCCTGAAGTCCCGACGCTTTCCCCAGGGCCGGCTTTTCGTTCTGAGCTGTCTTTCACAGTCGGGGCCGGCGAGGGCCCTTGGAGGCCGAAAGCGGAGAAAGTATTTTTTTTGTATTTTGTTTGTTAGTTCATTCGTTTGCTTATTGTTTTTATGTAATATAATTGTTTATGTATATACTTTGTTATGCATTCCTTTATGTATTTATGCATATGTTTGTTTACTTTTCACTCACGTGTTGAAGATGTACTTCGTTGTATACTTATTTATAGGTCGACCGATTTATGGCATAGAAAAATAGAATCATCTGTTTGCTTAACGATACCGAGCTATCAAATATGCGTTAAGATAAGGGGGTTCCCACCTGGTCACAAGTGCTGCGTGCTCCGAGACCTCTGCCCGCTTTGCTGCTGTGTGATGCTGCCGCTGCTCCTCACGGGGTTTTCATGCTGTTGCGTTGTTGGTGCCACGGTCGTTCACAGCCAGGGACGTCGTCGCGGTACCCTCACTGCGTTGGACCTCCTTGGGTTTCTGGATTCAAGAGGCTGGTTATCGAATTTAAGAAAATTGTTTTTTGAATGAAAACTGGTTTTTGGTGGTTGTCGAATTCAAAGACTGGCTTCATGAATTCAAAACCTACCCTCACTGCGTTGGACCTCTGGGTGCAGGACGCCAGTCTCTGGCACGCGGGCGCGCCGGAGGAGCCTCCAGCGGCTGGCGCGGCGGAGCCACATGGGCAGTGCCAAGAGGGTCACCATGGGGTCGCCCGGGGTCGCCACTTCCTCGAGGGGAGCGCCACCTCGGCGCTTAGAACGACGCATTGGTCGCAGCGTATAGTTCTGAATCTCACCCAGTGTCAAGCGTGGCCGACACGATTTTCGCTGGTCCGCTGGGCTGTTCTGGCCGGACCTCGGGGTCCTCCTCAGGGGCACGGTGAAGTTGCCATTGGTCTGTTGAGTGGTCGGCGTCCTCCTGGCTGTGATAAAAGACATACCAGTACTATGTGTGCGTCGCCCCCCGGGGACGACGCGCGCACCGAGAAATCTCACAGTGCATGCGTCGCGGCGGGTGCTTTCTGGCCGCACCGCTCGGGAAGCGATGTGCTACAAGATGGGTCGGACGCGCGCCTCCAAGGAGAACGTATAGTACTAGTATGTCTTCGTGCGGCCCACCATTTCCTCGACGAACGTCCCTGAGATCCTGGCGTCGCAAGCTTTCGAGCCGGGCGTCGTCGCCTGGCCTGCCCGGGGCTCGAAGAGTGGCGCTCAGAGAGGCGGGGCTCCCGGTCACCGATCGGTTGTTGTGCTTTGTTTTTTTTACATGGCTTGTTTTTCTGTTTGTTTGCTTGCCACGCCAGATTTCAGGGGCGGGCCCCCGAAGGAGTACCCCAGAAGTCCCTCCAAAGCGATGCCAGGCACCAGACGCCCAAGACCTCCTCGAGCTTCGATGCTGGGCCCAACGTCTATCAAGTAGGGGGTCGGCTGCAGAACTGACCCACCCCAGAAGAGTGGGTTTTCTCGCCGAGCCCACGAGAAAAAACACGCAGACCCGTCAGTCGACCCGCGGGGCACTGCAGGCTTGCTCCCGCAGATCCGACGGGGCATGCATCTTGGGATGCCTCGATTCCAGGGAGCCGATCCCCCGCCTCGAAGCCAGGGAGGCACTGGTGGCCCTCCCAGCGGCGACCCCCCCTCCTCCTCCTCCTCCTCCTCCTCCTCCTCCTCCTCCTCCCTCCCCCTCCTCCTCCTCCTCTCCTCCTCCTCCTCCTCCTCCTCCTCCTCCTCCTCCTCCTCCTCCTCCTCCTCCTCCTCCTCCTCCTCCTCCTCCTCCTCCTCCTCCCAGCGGTGACCCCCCCCTGGCACTGCCCGAAAGCCCTCGGCGGAGCTGCCAGGCGGCGCCGCGGCGGGCGGCTACCTCCGGGTGTCGGGCCACGGCGTGCGGCTCCGGCGCGTGCTCTACCCGCCGCTGCGGATCCGCGCGGGGCTGGGCGGCGCGGGCGGGGGCGGGGAGGGCCTCGAGCACGTGGTCAGCCTCACCCCGCTCCAGCCGAGGGGAGAAACACGATGACCACGACCTTTCGCCGACTCGTCCGCGGCTGTCGTTGCCATTCCACCGTGCGCTTCTGACTGTGGCAGGGTAGTGGCTTCTCGACCCGTTGCATGCCCAGTGGAGTTCCCATGGCTGGTTTTGAGCTTGCCGCGGGGGGGGGGGACTCGTGTCTTGTTCGACGCCGCCAGGGCTACAGCAGCTCTTGTGCGCACAGCGGTCGCCCGATGCTTCGAGGAGCTTTCAGAGATCTTGAGCTGTTCCGCCGCCGCCTCCTCCCACCTCCCTGGGCGATTTGTTTGGCGATCTCGGTCGATTCGGGTGAGGCGCCTCGGTGACGTGGGTGGTAAGCCGTGGCAGGATGCCCCAAGGGAGGCCGGAAAAGGGCACGAGCGCCACCCGAGGTATCCGGACATCCAAGTTGACCACGACCAACGTGTCGCGGGATCTTGTCGAATGGTCAGTGCTGGCCGTCGCCGATTCGCGAGGACGATCCACGAATGGACGATGACCGGGATGGACGAGGGCCAAGATCGGCACGTACTGGCGTGTCCGCGTTCAGTCGTGGTCATGGTCGTCGTCTTCTTTCCCTCCAGCCAGGGCGGGCAGTTGTCTCTGGCACCCGGCTGGCGTTGCGACGAGGACCCGTACATGGAGCTCCCGCCCGCGGAGGCGGCCGCCCGGCTGGCCAGCTGGCCCGGGGGCCCAGCCTGCTTCTGGAACTGCTCGGGGGGCCCGCCAGCCCGCACCATCGAGGTGGCCGTGGACGGGGAGGGCGTCGTGTCTCTCGCGGACGACGCTGGCTGCGGGAAGAGCGCGGTCACGAGGGTGGGGATGCCCCTGCGCGTGGCCGTGGGCTGCCGCGTCGCCGGGCGTCCCGGCCCCGGCGCGGAGTTCCCCCACGCAGGGAGCGGCCGCCAACACCGCCCCTGCCCCCCAGAGCGACCGGCCCTCTTCGATTGGTTCGAGGTGCGCGCGCGGCGCAGCGAGCTGGACCCGGGGCTGCAGCCTCGCCTGCTGGAGGGGGGCTCCGTCCTGCCGATGCTGAGGTGGGCCGGCGAGGGGCTCCTCTCGCGACTGCGGTAGCGCTGGCCTGCTCAGGCCGGCCAGCGCGAGGGGCCCCTCCGCGCTGTCCTCGGTCCTCCTCTCCTGCTGCCCTGGCGCCCGGGGCGAAACGACGACGACACGGAAGCGTAGTCTGCCAAGCTGGCGCGGCTTCCCCCGCGCTCGCCTCCGCCGTCCCGCTTCCTCTCAGGAGGGAACAAACACACAGACACAATTAATCGTCGATCTCCCAGAAAATATGGGAAAATATGGGAAGTGGTGGGGAAGACAAAAACCCAGAAAATATAGGAAAATATGGGGGATCTTTTTATTATTGTGTATTTCTTTGTGTGTCCCAGGGCCCCTTTATCCTCCTCCTCGCCCCGGCCCGGGGTGACGATCCGTCGGAGGCTGCGCGGTGTGTCAGTTCCAGCGCGCGCGGGGCAGCACGCGGTAGCCCCGACGTGCAGCGCAGGGCCTCTTCTCCATCTTCGTCTTCTTCTTCTCGCCCCCCCCCTCGAGCGCGACTTGTGGTGTCGGGCAGCGGCTTTGCTTGCCAGCGGGGTGGTCGGGTGTGAGCGTGCCCGCGGCTTGTCGGCTTGTCGGGACGAAAGTGTTTACCTCTGTCGATAAAGGTATCCGCTGTGGAGGTTCTGGCCAGGGTCACGCTGCACATAAAATCCACATCCTCATCCTAACCCTCATCATACTCAGGTCTCTCGTTATTTCCACCTACCCTCGCTGGAGCGCCTGTCCGTGGACAGTGGGAACAAAACGACGTTCTTTTTCCCAACAACTTGTGTTGTCGGGTCCTCGTTCAAAAGGGCAGTGCCCCGCGATCCTCCTTCCTCGTCTTCCTTCTTCTCCTCATCCTCAACCTCATCCTCCCTTCTTTTCGTGCATCATCGGCATCATCACCATCGCCTTGGCCATCAGCATCAGCATCAAGATCAGCATCATCGTTATCATCATCATCATCATCATCATCATCATCATCATCATCATCATCATCATCATCATCATCATCATCACCCACCCTACACGCCTCCTGGCCACAGAAAGCTCCACAGAAGGTCGCAGTGATAGGGTTCGCAGTTCGCATGTTTGACAGCAACCATTGCGGCACACCCCTCACGAGAATCGTGGCCCCACGGGGAGCTCCATCGAAAGCCCCAGTGGCTGGGCTCACATTTGTGACAGCGCCGATTTCGGCACACCTTTCACGAGGATCGTAGCCCCACGAGGTAGCTCCACCAATGGCCGCAGCGGCAGGGTTCGCATGCGTGACGGCGCCCGTGTTGGCACACCCTCACGAGGATCATGGCCCCATAGGTAGGGAGCTCCAAAGTAGGCCCCAGTGACTGGGTTCGCATGCGTGACGGCGCCCAGTTCGGCACACACCCCACGAGGATCGTGGCCACGTAGTTGGCTCCACAGAAAGCCCCAGTGGTATGGGTGCGCACGCGTGACGGCGCCGGCACACCCCTCGCGAGGATCGTAGCTTCCGTTGGGAGCCCCACCGCAGGCAACAGTGGAAGGATTCGCATGCGTGACGGCGCCCGTGTCGGCACATCACTCACGAGGATCGTGGCCTAATAGAGAGCTCCACCAATGGCCCCAGCGTTAGGTTTTGCATGCGTGACGGCGTCCATTTCGGCAAACCACTCACGAGGATCGTGGCCCCCAAGGGAGCTCCACCGAAGGTCGCATTGGCAGGGTTCGCACGCGTGACGGCGCCCTCTTCGGCAAACCACTCACGAGGATCGTAGCTCCCAATGGGAGCTCCACCGTAGGCCCCAGTGGCAGAGTTTGTATGCGTGGCGACGTCCATTTCGGCACACCCTTAACGAGGATCGTAGGCCTAGAGGAGCTCCACCGAAGGCGGCATGGGCAGGGCTCGCACGCGTGACAGCGTCCATTTCGGCACACCCCTCACGAGGCTCGTGTCCGCATAGGGAGCTCACCGCAGGTCGAGTGGAAGGGTTCGCATGCGTAACGGCGTCCGTGTCGGCACATCCCTCACGAGAATCGAGGCCCCATAGGGAGCTTCACGGATGGCCCCAGTGGCAGGGTTCGCATGCGTGACGGCGTCCATGTCGGTACATCCATCACGAGGATCGAGGCCCCATAGGGAGCTCCACCGCAGGCCCTAGTGGTAGGGCTCGCACGCGGGATGGCGCCCATGTTGGCAGACCATTCACGAGGATCGTAGCCCCCAGCGGGAGCTCCACCGAAGCGCCCAGTGGCAGGGTTTGCATGCGTGACGTTGCGTTGTTTTATGGGGAGCTCTACTGAAGGCCCCAGTGGCAGGATTCGTAATAGCGTCCCCGAGAAGCCCCAAGGAGGCCAAAGCCCCGCTCCCCCCAACTAGCCCCCCCGAAAGCTCCGTTTATGCATTCGAGAATCGCCCCTGCATTCCTCACCTGGCACATTGGCAATTTGTGGTGCGCGTTCCTCGGGCGCGGCGGCTAGCACCTGGGCGCGCGCGCGAAGCGTGCGCGCGTGGTTCTAGCCGGCGACCAGGTCCCTGGGCCAGGGGGCGGCCCAGTTCCCCCCCCCTAGCGTCAAAAGTTCAGTCCCAGGACCCGGCGGCCCTTTTTGAGTGGTCGGGGGGTGCCTCTGGACCTCGAAAGCCTTCCTCGACGACCCCACAGGACGCTCTCAGAGGCGGTTCTAAGACGGTCCAAGATGATCTAAAATGGGCCCAAGAGGCCCCTAAGGCGGCCGAAGACGGCCCGAAGAGAGCTCCGAGAGGCCTTCCAGGAAGCCTCCGAGAGACCTAAATTGTTGAAGAGCGATCGGTTTTCGTGCCATTTTAACATTCTTGCCCAGTTGCTCTTAACAGCGTCAAAGACGGCAAACGTGGCCCCCAATGTTGCTTCTCAGGCGACCCAGGAAGCCCCCAGGAGGGTCCCAAGACGGCGCAGAACCACCCCAAGAGGGCCCAAGAGGCCCCCAACACGAGCCCGAAGACGCCCCCAGAAAGCCCCCAGATTGCCCACGGAGGCATCCAAAACGGCATCCGAGGGCGTCTGTCGGGCTACGAACGCTTTGAGACAGCCGAGGAGGCCCCCAGGAGAACTCGAGAGGCCCCCAAAGCGCCCCGAAGGGGCCACCAATAGACCTCAAATAGCTTTCAAGATGCCCCTGAGAGCTCCCCCAGAAGATTCAAAGATGCCCCACAGGAGCCCCGCGAAGACGACCAACCATGCTCTTGATTGAGGAAGTCCCCCGAGCTTCCCAGTGGCTCAGAAGAGACTTCAAGACGGCCCATGGGAGTCCCAACACGGCCAAGAAAATTGCTTGGGTAGCTCAAGAGGCTTTCGCGGCATCCGCGTAAGGTGCCCCAGAAGGGTACCAGTTTTTGCATATCTTCGTTTGGGATTTGTCGGGTGTACCCGTGTCGTCGATTCGTCTCTGTTGGATCCGCGGCCTTGGCGTTTCTTCAGTTAATGTTCAAGGCAACTGTGGTGAGTGCAGCTGTTCGATGGCCACGGGCTGGGGCGTGCTAGAACCTGAGCGCGCGCGAAACGCGCGCTACGAGCATCGGAGTGACACGAAGCGAGAAACCAACGAACTTACGCACGCTGTTCAGTACATTCCTCCTGCAACTCCGCTCGAATCGTAGTCCAGTGCGCTCCTGGAGGAGGAGGAGGAGTGAGGGGACAATGCAAACACGTAAAATCAGGGGAAGCTTCCAAAGACGTTCAATGTTGATGCCGTCGACAGCGACGCCGACGACGATTTCGACGACGACGACGACGACGACGACGACGACGACGACGGCTACGGCGACGGCGGCGACAGCGGCCATTGCAGTGACAACGAGGGCGGCGAGAGCGCATCCAACGGCTCGCACCATGCAGGAGACAGCGCTACAGTTGTGACTTGCCAAGGCGCTACGAACAGCTGTGAACAACATGCGTACATGCACGCAGCAGTGAACTTGCCGAGGGTCGGTGCTTACTGGAACCGAAGCGCGCGCGAAGCGCGCGCGGTTCTAGTGGCAGCAATCTCGAGAAGCACCAGGGGGAGGGAAGCACATACACTCCACGATTAGATGACATCCTTGCGCGGCGGAAAGCCCTGCATAGTTTTGTACACAGTTGCGATGGGGGCCACGATGGGGGACCACGATGGGGAGATTGGGATGTGGTAGAGAGGGACAGGGACATCCTAAGATCATGCTAGTAACCAGCCTACTTCTAAACTGAATATGTGTCATGCAAGGGCGAATGCTATCACGACTGCTAACATAATGGCATTCGGCCCATCCCGCCCTCGTGCTTGGGTTGTGGGTCAGAGTTCTCAGGGATGCTTCTTGGGGTCTCTTCGGAGCGCTCTCGAGCGCCTCTTGTGGGCAGCTCCGAGCCCGTTCTCTTGGGGCCTCTCGGGGGCCGCTCGGGTTCTCTTTGGGAGCCTCTTGGGGGCCTCTTGGGGCCTTCTGGGGGCGGGTCAGCGGGCTGTCCTCCGCTCGGGTCCCCCATCTGCCCTCCCCCCTCCCCCCCCCTGGAGCCGTGTTGGGAACGTCTTGGGCCGTCGTGGGCGCTTCTTGGGCCGACCCGAGGCCCCCCCTTGGGGCAGCTTTGGGGCCCTCTTGGAGGCCTCTTGGGCCGCCTCGGGGCGATCTCTGGGGCCTCTTGGACCGGCTTGGAGCGTCGGGGAACCGAACAGGCGAGAACTCGAACATCCTTCAACAACCAATGGCACAACACAGACTTTTTGCCTCTTGGGGACCTCTTGGGAGGCCTCTTGGGAGCCGCTTTCGGCGTCTTGTAGGCTTCTTGGGCGGGTTAGGGACCATCTTGGGCGTCTTAGAGCTATTTTTGGGCGCCTCGGGGCCTTCTTGGGCCGTCTTGAGAGCCTCTCGACACCCTCTTGTGGCCCGTCTCCTTTTGGGGCCGAAGACGTCACGCGAGAAGCCGCGGCAGGCCCCCGCCAAGCCGCGCCAAGCCCGAGAAGAGTTGGGACTTCGGGGTCTGGGCCCCTGTGCGGACTGAGGCTTAAAGGATTAGGCAAAGGACTCCTCCTCCTCCTCCTCCTCCTCCTCCTCCTCCTCCTCCTCCTCCTCCCAAGAACCGTTCTGGTTCAACTGTGCCGCAGCGGCACTTTTAGACCTGCTCCGAGCCTTCCCGAGGCGTTATTGGCTACGGGCTGCCCTCTGCGCTGGTGCTGAGGTCCGCCCCGACTGATACGGAGCGAAGAGAGAAGATGAGTCGGCGTCCCAGATGCGCCGGCGCCGAGGGCTGCTGGCACGGCGTCCCCTGCGGCAGTCACGCACAGCTCCTTTCCTCGACGACTGGACGAAGTGTGCGAGCTGCAGTGCCTGGAAGTGGAGCGCTGACGGAGGCGCCCTCGCGTGGAAGCGCGGGCGTGGCGCCCAGGCCGCGCCCCAGGCCGCAGGCGTGAGTCGTCGAGGGAGCCTCCGGCCACGCGCCGCGGCTCGGGCGAGCGTGTCCCACCGTGGCGCGCGGCTGCCGACGGCCCTGCGTGGGGTTCTGCAGTCCTCGGCGCGTTCCTCGGCGGATCCCGGCGACCTCCTCAAGGAGCTGGCCGCCAGTGAGGGAGCCGACCAGCCGCAGGCAGCGGCGGCGATCACCCCGGCGAAGAGACGGCCCAAGCCCCCAGAGGACGTCGCAGACAACACGGTTATTGGTACTTTTGTTGGGATTGT